TATAAAAAGTTTCCAGTTTGAAAATTTTGTGACATAACTGCAAAATAGTCTGGATTTAGTCCATGCAGCGGCCAGAATGTTAATTTGTGTTGCATAAATTTCATGTTAATTTATGTTCACAGCGACGAAAATGAATTAAGGTGATGACAAATACTGATGTTTTAAATTGTCTTAATGAGGACCGCTTGTTATACCAGCAGCTCTTTTATTAATGAAATGATTAAATGATTTTCGCTCAGCTCTAATTGATTTTCTCAGCCATCCTCCCGTCTCTTATTACCGGTAGCGATTGTCGGCTTCTTGTACAGTGAAATGAAATGTCAGACTAAATATGTCATGTTTGCAGATGAGAACACCTTAGGTAACAAGGAATGCAAAAAAAACCTTTAAAATTGTGCACAATGGCAAAAAAGTCAATACAGCATCGTATTTTTATCTTTGAGGCTTGAAGTGTCACTGAAGGAAGTCACAACTTTGTGATTTTTCATCAAGATCAACCCGACCGACCTGTTTTAAAGAGACTCCTGTTATATAACAGACCAGCAAAATAAAAAGGTACTTTGCAGACAGCGTTGCAGCAGGATAAAATTATCAATGTATAAATTTGGGGGTGGCTGTGGTTCAGGGAGAGGAGCAGATAATTGCCAATTAAAGAGTTGCTGGCTCAGTCCMTGGTCCCCTCACCCCAGTTTTTCCTGTGGAAAGATAGTTTATCCCAACAAGAGCTTTCCCTGTTAAAGGCTCCAGCAACACAGCTCTTGTATTTCATCATTACTCTAGTTTTCTTTATTTCTTTATTTGATCCCTGAGTCATTCTGCTACACATGCTGATCTTTACCTWCCACCAAAAACAAAAGRCGATCTTGTTTTTGCTCGAGTACGYGTGTGTTTGTTGGTCTGTAGTGTTCGAGGACTGTACCGAAACTCTCCAAAAATAAAAATACGATAAACATTTAGAAWTGATGARCTRATTTTTGGAATCAGTGGACAGTTTTACAGAAACTGAAATAAAAAAATTGTTGTGGTATAGCTGTGAGTCATTCATATGACATTTCCAAGCTCTGTTCATTGCATTAAATATTTCTCTAAAACTTTGGCGTTAATTGTTGGTTTTATCCCTTGTCCTTTAGCAAAATATCTCATTAACTGTACTGGACAGGTTTTATTGAAAGTCAAAACATAATATAATAATTGAATATTCATCTAAACATATTGAGTTAAACCAATTCAGTTTAATTGTATAGCAGCAAGTCACAACCATACATGTCAACGCCTTCATATGTTTAATGAAAGGCAACATGCATACTTCAAGGAATGCTAAACATTTTTAAAAATTTTTAGTGATTTAATCAAGTTTAGCCTGGTTTCTCCTATTTACTGATTTCCTCTTGTTTTGGCAGTTCCCCTCTTGTCACCAGAAAATCTACGTGTGTCAGAAGAGTCATACAACCACTTCAGGGTCTCCTGGGATCCACCTCAGTCTCCTACTGTGGGATACAAGATTGTTTACCAGCCTATCTATGGTACACACACCTACTATGTCTCTATATCCTTGTGGGGACTTTCCATTGACTTCCATTCATTATTGTAACTGTATTTATGCCTAACCCAGACACTTTATCCAAAACTAACCATTACTGATCTATTCCTAACCCTAACCTGAACCAAAACTGAATTCACACCATACATCTAAACCTAACTAGCAAAGCACAGCAGAGCTGCAAACAAATGAGGATTGGGAAAATGTCCTTTTTTTACATCAAAGACCTCACTTTGATAGCAMCTATTTTGCAAGTGGTCCTCACTCTGTAGCAGAAACAAGTACACTCATTGGGACTTTGCATTGACTTTCATTGATTTACCAGTCATTTCTACAGCCTAACCCTAAGCCCTTACTCTAAACCTAACCTCACAGGTAYATACCTGACCCTAATCCTAACCTAAACCCAATTCACACCTTGGTCACACCTGATCCACCAACAGTATTTCCCTCAGTGGGGACCGGGCTTTTGTCCTCATTGGGAAATGTGGGTCCTTACAAGGCTGTGTGTACCAGAGAAATGGTCAAAAATTGACCCCACTAGGTAGCAAAAACATGCAACATGTTGACTTCCATTATTTTTCCAGTCATTTCTACATCCTAAACCTAACTCCTGACTCATCAACGGTATTTCCCTCAGTGGGGACCGGGATTTTGTCCTCATTGAGAACAGTGGGTCCTCACAAGGCTAAGTGTACCGGTTAAATAGTCAAAAAATTGTCCCCACCAGATTAGAAAAACATGAACACACAAACACACAGATAGAATACAAAGAGAGGCCAACAGCAATGAAATGCTAAGCCATTGTTTGTTCATTGCATTAGTCGTCCTGAATGAGTCATTTTCCTTGATGAGAAACAAATATTATCTTTATACTGTTAAAGTCGATCACATTCAAACAAAATGATGCCCTGTTCTGTCCTGAGACTCCAACTTTTCCAAACTCTAATTAGCTTGTTACAGGAGGACCTGCCTGTGACAAACCTGACAGACACATTACAGCTCATAACCTTTCTGTAAAGCTTTAAGAAAAATGTCAGCAGTCCAGCACCAAAATAAGACATCACCCTTCCTCATTTATTTTCCCAACTTAAAGACATCATTAAATACCCATTTTCACCGCTCTGCTCYGTCTCAGCTGCTAAATGTTTCACCAAGACAGAGCGCCAGCATTTATCGTTTCCAGCTCTGTTTTTAGTCACCTAAACCCAATTATTGTGCCTCAGAGAATCCAGCTTCAAGTAAGCGACTGAATTAGGTTAATTTTAGAAATTGGGTTGAAAGGAATTTAATTCTACCATTCTGTTTCTTCAGCTCAGAGAATCCACAAGTAAAAAGGGCCTGCACATACTGATGCTCAGTCATAATATATTTATAGTAAATACAATTATATTTGTGTACTTTAGCAAACACATAAATTGCCCTTAAGCTGACACACATATTCTGGCATAAACACAGACAAATTTGAATTATATATCTCATTAAACACAGTTTCAGTGGGTGATGTGTTGTTATAAAACATTTACGCTTTTACATTAGTTTCATTTGTATTGTAGCTCATTTTTATGCASCATTATTATGTTATGAATCACATGTTAATGCTGATAGAAAAAATTGCATAAACACAAGTGATTTTTATTTCTTTGCTTTGATGAAGAATGCAGGTTTGTAACTCAATTTATAACAGAAACAGTTTTGTCGCACCGTCTGTAATTATTTTGGATTTTGGTGTAAAGGTTAAAAAAGAAAGACCTGAAAAATACCTAAAAAGCTGCACATTTTGTGACCCAAGCAGCTTCTGGAAACTTGAGTGTTTCTGCAGGCGCAAACGTCACTTTCTAACAAACGTATAAATGTGTAAAAACACTTTGTAGTTAGATTTTTGACTCCCACATTTTGCTTGTTGCAGTGCTGCACAGTATGTAGTTTGAAAGGAAATGGGTCMACCAAGCTGTAAACACATTTTATTGATTACACTGATTATACATACAAAGATGGGCAATTGATATTTTATGAAGCTAAAAGAATAACGGCTTGCCTGACACTGAAAAAGAGATTTGGCATAAAAAACACTAAAATAAAACATTGAAAAAATAAAACAGTTTATACTGAAAGTTAAAAMACTGACATTGAAACACATGATGATATTCTTATTTTTATGATGCGATCTTTGTTTTATGAAACAAGTTTTCCATGTCAGTGCAGAGTTCTTAACAACGTCACTGCAAAGCTGTCACTGTTTTGGCGTCGGGGCGGGGCTATTTTTCAGTGTTTTATTTTTCAATGGCAAATCTCTTTTTCAATGCCAATATAAGATATCACTGTTTTAGCTTCATAATATTTTAGGACAATTTTACAAGTTTTATGAAAATAAACTGGATGTTCAGATTTTGTCCTTTTTTTCATATTTATTTTATTGTTCATTATGAACACAAAAATGCGACCCATCGTAAGGAAATCAGGATTAAGTCAAATAACATTTTCAGATTCCTGGGTTTAAAAGCTACATTTTGATACCTGGATCATTCTGATATCATAAGTTTATCCAGAGATATGACTTATTTTGTCTTGCAGGTTACAATAATACATCACTGTTTGGTCTAAATCCTAATTTTATGTACATTTATTGAGTAATTTTTGATGTCCATATAAAGAAGAAACCTCAAATAGTATTTGTGTATTAAGATTTCCCAATTGGAAAGAAACAAAAACATTGCTAGCTCACAGGGAAAAATTCTAAATTTTAAGGCGTTTCCTCAAAATCAGTTATTTTTTGTTCCTACTGCTCAAAAAATGCTTCAATTTTTTTTTTCTTAGGATTGTATTTCAGACAGTTCATTCAAATGATTCATTGATAAGGCATTAATTCATTATATTTTGACAAAATGCAATTTTTGCACACATTTAAATCAAAACCCTATATTTCTCCAGATTCCACTTTTGGACTTAATCCTCGTTTCGATGTGATGGGTCACAAATGTTCCTCATTAATTAAATAGATAAAATATTATAAATCAAATGTCTATGAATAAATAATAGATACATATAATAAATATATAACGTGACAATGTAATTGTGAAAAACGTACAATTCTGGTTCTTATGTTTTTTTTTCATTCTTCTTTATAAATGTGCTTATTAATACAAAAACATTATTTCAATGTGAAAATTTTCCCCCCTTATAAATTATTTTGGCGGCATTTTAATTTTATTCCAGCAATTTTATTCTAAAATGTCATCTTTTCTTTCAATATGGTGTTTTCCCCAGTTGACTTATTTATTTCATGACTTTTCAATAGAATTACTACATCTGTCAATCAAAAGAATCAGGGTGGAGCCAATTGTTCGGCTGTTCCTTTACCCAGACAGAAGTCATCACATACTAATGTTAAGGTGCAATGCATGCTTCTATGCACGAGGCTATAATATGGAGCTCACACTGTAAGCTACAGCTCAGATAAACATAGCCTAGCATGCATGACCCTTGACTTAGCAAGTCATTACTAGCTGCACAAGCTGTGCTGTGAGCACAAGAAACCTAATCGATGGGCTAGGATCAGCCAATGAGCCTACAGGTTGAACCCACTGTTGATGATTGACAGATGAAGTCATTCTGCTGAAAAGTGYCGTTATGAAATAAATTGTCTCTATATATTTATCTATTATTAATTCATAAAGGTACTTATTTCATAAAGTTTTATTTCTTTATTTAATGATAAACATTTTGGTGTTCCACAGTTCAAGGTCCGGTTTTGGAGACGACAGTCGGCGAGGACATGAATTCCATTCTCCTCCTCAACCTGCTGAGTGGGACAGAGTATAATGTCCAAGTGACAGCTTCCTACCCTGCAGGACAGAGTGAAACGCTGCTAATAAATGGAAAAACATGTAAGTACTTTGGCCACAAATGTGTCCCAGTTAAAGCACCACACTTTTCTGCAGACGGATTCCTCCGTGTGCAACGTCTGCTTTATCTCCATTCATGAGTTTTTAGTGTTTTGTCTATAATGTCTGCTTCAACAACAACTGTCCGATTCTAGAAGCAGAGTATAGTCTGAGCTCTTTCAGCATAAATAAACACTCCCACAAATTTCTGGTCACACAATAATTTCTTCCGTGAAGCCGGTTCTCCCGGCAGGTTGTGACGAAAAGAGGCCGAAGACCAAAACCTCTGAACAAAATGACACAATTTTTGTCACACAACTGCTACAATGAGAGTTGATTTCAGCAGTTCGACTGGAGTACATGGAGGCCTGTAGCCTGGTCTGTGAGTCTCTCATTTAGACTCCATTGTAAAGGGCGAGTAGTTCAATTTTAGTCTTCATGTTAATCTAACCACTAACCAGGGCAGGCCTATAAAGCTTGGAACATTTTTCTGAACACTTTTCTGAACTGAGAAAACTTCCTGAATGGAAGGTGAACCATCTTCATCTTCAAAATKTAGGTCCTTTTGTTCTGTTTTTGAAACATTTGTTTTGGATTGCAGTATTTCTATATGGTGTGTAAATACAGTATGTRGCATTTGCTAAAGCTGAGTGTGGTTGTAGTTGAGTCATTCACAACTCAAGCTCCAACAGATTGTAGAAGATCTCACAATAACACATGGGATCATGTGCAATGTTGTTTTCAAGGTTTGTTTAAAGTAGATAAAATTTAATTTCTCTGCAGACATTGACAAGCAGTGGGTGATATATTCCTTTAAGGAATGCCAGACCTTTTTTTGTTTGGCATTGATGTGCAATCTCTAAATTGTTTTTAATCCAGTTTCTGTAGGATGAAGTTATCACTTCTTTTCTAAGATGAAAGATACCAAACTTAAAATGTCTTRGCAAGCTGCATGAAATTGCACCTTTTTTAAACATGTTTGTTTGTCATTTAAGATTCACATTTTATATGCATTTGTGCATTTATCTGTATTACATTTTAGTCCACACTGTAATCTAATTATTTCCTCTGCTGACCAGTCAAAGCCAACATTTTTTTAAATCTCCAAACACATTCTTTAATGCAATCAAGTTCCAGAGTCCTGATAAATTTCCAGATGAACTGAGCGTGTTCATGTTACATTAGTGAAGCTCTTCCTTACATATTTACTCTGCGTTTGAGGAAGTGATTTATTACTGGCAATGCCTTCACCTATATGTCAGTTTAATCATGTGGATGTTGAAACATATTTCCCCTGAGWGCTGTGCGTTCACTGCAGCCTTGGAACCTCGAGAAACCAACGGACATGTTTGCACCAATAAATTACACACAGTAACGTGCRACGTCAAAACCCAATTATATTTACCTGAGGAAGCCATTTCTTCCAGATAGTCGTGTTGGATTGTGGTGCTGAAGCTTGTTAAGTGTGACAGTAATGAGTTTTTGCAAGAATAGAAAAACAAAGCCCAGCAAAACTAATACGTTTTAGAAATTCACAGACTCTTGTAGATTAAAAAAGATATGGTGAGAATGTAAAATGACTGACACCAGTAATGACTGTCAAAAAAATAAAAATAAAAGACATGAATAACAAAATATTTTTGTAAAATATTTCCATATATTCAGATCATTTTGCATAAAACTACGTGAAGAAGCTGAATTTAGAACGATGATGAAGAATTACTGTGAAGACATATGCCATACTGTTTTGTTTGKCCTAACCATCTTTTATTTATATGCATGATCATTATCATACATTACAAATGTATCCATATTCATGGATGTCTGTTTGCTAAACTTTCTCCTGCCCAATTTAAGGTTAGTTTTTGTGTCTTTCCATATTATTTTAAGGATCAGGCTAATGTCAAATACATTATTCAGAAGAATTTAATATTAAGCTTCTGTTTACAGTGTCAGTGTTATGTAAATAAACATTTTATTTTTTTATATGTCCTCAGCAAATTCTGTTCATCAGCAAAAAATAAAAAAGCTCAATTGGTGGCTCCTGGGAGGTTTACCTGCCTGTGGTCCACTGACACTGTGCTGCCGAACAAGCTGAAGTGGGTTTTTGTGCTCTTTTACATTTTGTTGCATCATTCCTCAGTAAAGCTCATCAAAACACAATAAAGTGCAACGTGTTTTGTAGTTTTGGATTTCGTTTGAAACCTACACAAACTAAAGCATATAATCTGTGCTTTAGTTAGTTTTTTTTTTTACTTTCACTCCTTTAATAAATCATAAAATGAGCACTGTTTTCACAAACAAAGCTTTTTGTCTCTTTGATGCATAATGTTGTCAGATCATTTTAGCCCACCACTCTGATACTTATTAGTGTTTCTTGAACATTTAAGTAGATAAAATTTTATTTCTCAGGAGACGTTGACAAGCAGTGGGTGATATATTCCTTTAAGGAATAATATCATGTAAAATCAACTTTTTTTGAGTTTTATATCATGTTGTAATGTTATGCTCTCATAAAAACATACCCAAAGCCTTGCTTTGACTCATTCATGCATGTTTGAGAAATCTTGCAGTGTTTTTAGGACGCCATGCTGAGGAGCAAAACGACAGGTGGGGACCAGAAATGCCTTTTGGTACCAGAAACGCCCCTGGGGCGTGTCTTTAAGCCAAACTTCCTCATGGCGGAGCCCCCCCMCACACACACACACAACCCCGCCCATGACTCTTGCAGGCTCTCGGGTGAAAGTGAAAGTGAAACTTAAACTGTCTGCTGAGCTCTCAACATTAGTTCTCACTCAGTTCTTTTCAGATTAAAAATACCTTTGAGGAAATGTAATTTCAGATGCCAAGTAAACTTCATCATAGCAGCCCCCCACCCCCCACCCCAATGTGTGCCAATAATTTGGGGCAACTGGGGTGGCCAATCAAGTGCCAGATGTGGCACTTACCACCTGACTGTCTCA